GACACGTCTGGGCTGTCCGCTGCCTGCGTGCTCCGCCGCTTTGCTTCCTCTCCCTGGTCTGCTGGAGACCAGGGAGACGGGCCCTGTTCGTAACTGCGGATCCGACATAAGTCGGATCCGCATAACTCGGGGACTGCCTGTACTTATATCTTAGAGTGTGTCTAGACTACAGGGTTTTTTCAAAAAAAGTAGCCTTTTTTAAAAAAACTTCCCCTGTGTCTAGACTGCTGCCACGTTCTTTCTAAAGTAAATTGAAAGAAGGTGGCAGTTTTTTTGATCGTGGAAAACCTCATTTTAAGAGGAATAACGCCTTTTTTTGAAAGTGCTCTTTTGAAAAAAGGTGCTATGTAATGCAAACTGTGCTTTTTCGAAAGAGATCATCCAGATTGCCTTGGTGCTCTCTTTCGAAAAAGCAGCTTGCTTTTTCAAAAGTACTGATTGTAGACTAGACGCTCTTTTTCGGAAAAGCCTCTTTCAAAAGAGGTTTGTAGTCTAGACATAGACTTAGACTGTAAGACTTTCAAGGCAGGGGCTGTTTTATATAGCACTTTGTCTGAAGGAGCCCTAAACATGAACGAGACCCCAAAGAACTATGATAATACACATCATAAATAATAATTTTAAGACGGAGACTGTACCCCCATGTTAAGGATGTTCATTATGAACTCAGTTAACAGGTTACTCTACTCTGACTCACAACTCTCTTGAACTCTTTCAAACAGCAGAACACAGTATAACCATTCTTTAAATTGCATACAAAGTATGTGCACTACAAGTAGTACATTTTTTGGAAGAAATGCTCTGATCAATTTAGAGCCATTCTAGTTTACAGCAAAAACCTTACTGATACTAAACTCTTTAAATATAAGATTGTCTTTCTTTCTGGAATATATACTCTAGCTAAACCAAAATGTATGGTCTTGATGCAGGAGTTCCTGGGTGACCTGCATTATGCAAGAAGTCAGACTAGATGACCAAAAGGGTCTCTTTTGGCTTGAAATGTTTCTGCGCTGCATGTGCATTGATCAAGAATAGGTGTTACTCTAGAGAAAATTCTATTATGTGAATATGATAGAGTGAGATATACCTGTATCAAATTGCGACCTCATTTATTTTAAGAACATCATTTTGATTCAGGGTTGCCACTTTGTATTGTAACCTGCATGATGTATTAGTGGCAAGGGATATAAGAGGTTAACCGGTTACCCGGTAAGCAGGTAGCTTGTCGGCCTTCTTACAAGGTAACCAGTTAACCGGCCGTGCCGGCTGGAGTCCCTATGACCTTGCTGGGGCCGGGGCAAGGCCAAGGCCGTAGCCGCCCCTACCGCCTGCAGGCCACTGGTTAACCAGTTAAAAAATCATTTAACCAGTTAACTACTCTAGGTGGTTTTTACATTCATTATTACCACCTTCATTGTGGATTAGAATGTGGTGTATTGAGGTGCTTGTTTTCCCTGTTTGTTTCAGGGTTCTTGAGTGCCAAATGTTCTGAATTCTACGAAAAAGTAGTGTTACACTGCAAACTTCTAGTAAGAGCATTTATGTTTTCTATCAAATTTCCAGGTGTATGCTGTGAACATTACAGAGCATCCATTTTGTAACACAGGGCTGATGCCTAGTGGAATGACGATGTCTGAGAAAACTTAAAAAACAACGAATAGTCCAGCAGCAGCTATGGCCAGAGCCCTGCTCAAAGGTTGGAGCCACCTCTGATCTGCAATCTGCAAATATGACCAGCGGAGATCTGCAGATTTGTTGGGCTTTAGATAGCAAATCTGGACCCACATCCGCCCACAATGTGCAAAAATGGCCCACGGATGAGGATATCTGTGGCTATAAAGCAGACATCTGCACAGCTGCAGGAGTCTAGCAATGATGGAGTAATCTAGAGCCATCAACTCCAAGTATTCCTGATTCCCTGCAACGATGCTACAGAAGCCTTGCGGGAGCAGGGACTGGAGTTACTCAGCCTAAAACAAAAGGGTGACTAAAACTTATTGGCCCCCTGAGCCACATGCAACAACCCTCAGAAGTCTGAGGGCCAGGGCTTAAGGCCTCAGTTCTGGAAGAGCTGCCTGATGGGGCCCAGAAACAGACACACACGCACACTTTGAAAAGAATCCCCCCTCCCATCATGCTGCAGCAAGGCAGAGGTCCCAAGCTTCCTTCCACCCCCTGTCTTGTAGGTGGTGAATTGGAGGTGTGGAAGAGGGGCTCTGTGAGCTACACTCTAAGGCTGTGTCTAGACTGGCCAGTTTTTCTGGAAAATCAGCTGCTTTTCCGGGAAAACTTGCCAGCTGTCTACACTGGCCGCTTGCATTTCTGCAAAAGCACTGACTTCCTACTGTAAGAAATCAGAGCTTCTTGCGGAAATACTATGCTGCTCCCATTCGGGCAAAAGTCCCTTTTGTGCAAAAGGGCCAGTGTAGACAGGTGAGATTTGTTTTGCGCAAAAAAGCCCCGATGGTGAAAATGGCGATCGGGGCTTTTTTGCACAAAAGCGCGTCTAGATTGGCCACGGACGCTTTTCCGCAAAAAGTGCTTTTGCGGAAAAGCGTCCGTGCCAATCTAGACGCTCTTTTCCGAAAATGCTTTGAACGGAAAACTTTTCCGTTAAAAGCATTTCCAGAAAATCATGCCAGTCTAGACATAGCCCAAAGGTAAAAGAGCCACGTGCGGCTTGCAAGCCACCACTTGGCCACAGCACATGCTTGGAGATCTGCCGTTTCTTTTGCTAGCTACCTGACCTAAAGGATCAGCAAGTAAAGATTAAACCAGGGCTATTCAACTTTGGAAGCTCCGGGGACCACAATGATACTCAAGGGCTGCAACTTCAGTATGGTTGCATATAAATACAAATATATATGCAAACAGTTTCTTTCACACTGATGGGCATGAATACAAAGATTAAGGCAAGACTACACAACGCACAGGCCCCATTTAAGTCCGTTCTGCTGATATTAATAAAATGCAATATTTACCTGATTTCCACCCATATGACAGCACTTTTAATGAGCAATGACAGTCCCAGGAACTAAAATGCATATCAACAGAATACCATTATATTGACTACTTTTTTGTTTTGGCTCCCACCCACGGGCCGTGTGTTGAGTCCTGTGTAAATCCAAACCACACTGAGAGCCTCAAACAAATGGGCCGCATGTGGCCTGTAGACCACGTGTTGAGTAGCCCTGGATTAAAGGGCGCCTCCGAGTAAGGAGGCTGTCCGAGTCTACTGCCACATGCCACAAGACCTGTGCAGAGAGACTGAGAGAGATGCAGAGCCAGGAGGAGTCTGCCTAGCCTAACACTGACCAGGCCTCAGGCTCAAAGAAAGGGAAGGATCAGACTAAGGGGGAAAGGAAACATCTCAGGACTGTTTGTGGTTTCTTCTAAGATCTGTACCTCTGTGCTCGTTAGAGAAAAAGCGCCTGGAATTCATCAATGACTTTGCTCAGTTTGCATCCATTGGGTGCCTGACATGTGGTCCCAGTTAATCAAGCAGTTCAGGGCACCCCAGAGCACAGCGGGAGTCAGGCTGTGTGTAAGCAACTGCGGGCTCGGAAGGTCTGTGTCACCGATTCCGAGTTTTTAAGCAGCAGGGCTGCAGAGCCCCATGTCCCAAACAGGAAGCACAGACATGATGCCTGCTATTGTGAGCATGCCTTAGAGATTAACAGTGACCAGGGTGGCTTAGGAGCACGTAGGATCCAGCTGATGGGTCACTTGCAAACTGGAGTCTATCCAGAGAGGGGGAACGGGACAGGCTCTGACACCAGCTTGCAGCAATACTTATTTTTTTTAAAGACAGTCATTTTGTTAGTCTTTAAAGTGCTACTAGACTCTTTGTTGTTTTTTTAAGGTTTTCCTGTTACAGACTAACTCAGCTACCCCTCTGAAGTTTTTAGTTTTGGAGTTTCACCTGTTGTTGGGTGCCTGACCTTGATTCTTTCATGGGAAACAAAGGGTTTTGGCATATTTCACTACTGTTAGGCCAGCCAGAGCTCTAAGTAATTCTGAAGTAATTCCCGCATGTGTTTATATATGCATGGCCTGTCATTTTCCCATGACATCTGTGGGAGGACTCACATGCTTACACTAAAAGGGAAAACTATGCAGCACTTGAAAGACTAACAAGATGGTTTAAGAGGTGATGCGCTTGCGTGGGTCAGACCCGCTTCCTCAGATGGTATTCTGGAAGAGAACTGGCTGGTATAGATGGGCACGCCAATTCTCTTCGGCTGTGTCTACACTGGCCAGTTTTTCCGGAAAAACGTGCCAGCCCAGGTTTGGTCTCCGCACAAAAGCCCCGCTGGCGGAAAGGGCGATCGGGGCTCTTCTGCGGGGAAGCGCCGCGAGATGGGCGCGGAGGCGTTTCCAAAAAGCGCTTCGGCGCCGAGTGGCCGAGCCAGGCGGATCCCCGCAGCGAGGGCGGGA